TTTTTTTTTTTTTTTTTTTTTTATGTCCTTTTTTAACCTAATTTCTGCGTCTCTTAGCTGCCTCTGCCTCAGACAAACTTCCTTCTCTGGAACACATATTTTGTACATTATATTAATATAATATTTCTCTTTCACTTAATTAGTAACTTCACATTGGATCTCAACAATCTTTCGCAAAAACCATTTCTCATTATGATTCGTTTGACCTAAGTCTTCTCTTTCTCCATTCATTAATGAATAATTGTGATGTGATCAAAAGCCAGACCAAATCCACCACATAATATATTATCAACATATATAGAAAAATGACTTTTGTATTGTGACTTTAATATTTTGATTTTGGTATTTTTATTTAATTAATAATTCCTGTGAAATTAGTTCTAATTTTACTTGTTGAGTGGGATATATATTGCATTATGTTTAGAATTAGTTGATGAGAAGAAGAAGTTGATATTGGATCTGAGGAATCATTTGGAGAACGATGTTCTAATAATGTTTGGGAAACGTCTTTTCTCAATTAATGGATTGGTGAGTTTCACGTTATAGTTGTTAGAAACTGACATGAGAGACCAAGTCAAGCATGCCCACAATTACATAAGATCCCTCCTTTTTATTTTTATTTTTTTAACCGCTGTTCGATTAACAATAGTTAATTACCAAAGTACGAACAATTTTTTTCTTAAAGAAACAACTAAGAAAATTGATATATAAAGTAGAAAAGGAAATGTCAATTACTTGACTGTACAAGGTAAGTTTTAGGGTATGATGACACGTGTGCACTGCCAAGTACTCCTCGCTTTTGATTCTTTGAATCCATGACGTATATATAGAGCTTGCTGCATTTTTTTTAATTCAGATTTTGTATTTAAATACTTGTATATTACCTTACATTTTGTTTTTCGTGGAACTGCCACTTTTTAATGTGGTAAAAGATATAAATAACGAGAAAACAGAAATCAGAAATAAGCCCATTTCAATATTAGTTTTTGTAACAAGGCCCATTTCAGTCTTACAACTTATTTGCTCAAAAATCAAATCTTACAACTTCTTCGGTAAAATAATCATTAAAAAAACATTTCTAACATATAAATATCTAATCAAAATTGAATAGCTATATATATATATATATATATGTATATATGTATATATATAAACAATTATTTCTTAAAAGTAATAATTTTTATGATAATCTTTAAATTTGCTTCTGTATTTTTTTAAGGGTAAAAATTAATTACAATATTATTTTATACCAAAATGACTTCTATTTTTAAATTCTTAAAAAAAGCTGACCCATGAAGACTTTGATAAACCGACGAGCACACATGTCAATTAATAATGGATAGTTTCAGCTTAAAAAAAATAACTATTTCTTAAAAATATTAATATTTTTTTTTTGTTTTTATTTAAATAAGTCAACTTAATAACTCTGACAGATTTTTTTTAAATGCCTTAAAGCATGATATAAGCATTAAAACAATAATCTTTTTAATTAATTAAATAGGTTTTAATAAAAGTTTTCACCTTAATTATTTAAAAAAAAACTGACCTACTCTTAACTAAGTTTGATGTAGGTTAGGACACATGCTCCTATTGAGTGGTCTATTAATCTATTTCTACCTATATTAATAAAATGCTGGCCACTTCTAATCAATAATACAATTATCTATAAAAAAAAGTTAGCAAATTTACCTCTAATTCACTCTATTATATTTGTCTCTCCAAATCTTTCTTACTTCTTAAATAACGACCTTATAATTTTAATATTTTTAATATTTTTTTAAAAAACATAGAGACATAGTGTATTTTTTACACTACTGAAAATAAATGAAACATACTAATAAAAAAAAAATAAGTGAAACTTTTGGAAGTATTTGAAGTAGGGATGTTTATAGGTTAAGATGATTTGTATTTGAGTGAAAATCCAATTCAAATTAATAAATTTTATAATTTTTTTTGTCTAACTCAAACTAAATTAATTTGATACTAAGGATATTCAATGATTTTTTTTAAAAATATTAAATTAAAAAATATTTTTTTTGAAGTAATAGATTTTTTAACATTAACTAAATTTATATATTATAAAAAATTAACCAAATTGATATATTTGTAATATAGTTCCTCTTGATTTCTTTTCATAATCTACTTAAAGATTTCAAATGTATTATAGTAAGTGAAAATAATATTTAATATATTGTAATATAGTTTCTCTTATTTTTTTTAAAATTTTTGAAAAAAATGAAATAAATCTATATATTGTAACATAAAAATGTCTACAAAATAATTAAAATAATACATACATATTAATTATTAATTAAATAAAAATAAAAAATTATTAATTAATTAATTAAATTTAAAATTTAAATATATAAAATTAATATCCAAATTAATTAACATCGAATTTAATTGATTTAATTTAAATTATATTATAAAAAAATCAAAACCAATTTAAATTCTTTCCATAAACACCCGAATTTGAAGTGACTATTAAATAAATAGTATAAGGTTAGTCTGAAGTCTGAACTATGTTAAGAGGAAATGACGGAGAGGTCCTGACGGGGGTAACGCCTTAAACGGCAGCGTGAGAAGAATTAGAGGGTGAAGACGGTTATTTCAAAGTTTCCCTCCCCCAGTTTAAACGTCTATCTCGTTTCCCCATTCCCCGGTTTTCATTTTTCATTTTCCAACACAACACAGAGACCATAAGAAGTTGAAGATGATCAAGTTTTTCAATCGAGGAAGGGACACTGCCGCCGATGCCTCGCCGCCGGTCACGCCTTCTTCGTCGCCGCTCACCGGCCCCGCGAGGCCAATTCGTCTTGTCTATTGCGACGACAAGGGAAGGTTTCGCATGGACCCCGAAGCCGTCGCCACGCTCCAGCTCGTCAAGGAACCCGTCGGCATCGTCTCTGTGTGCGGCCGCGCTCGCCAGGGGAAGAGCTTCATTCTCAATCAGGTCTTTTTTCAATTCAAGTCAATGCATGCTTCTTCATTTCGTGTTTAGGGTTTAATAGCTTGTACTTTATAGCCATTGTTCATTAGGATTGTGGAAGAGTGTTCCGTGCTGTTAGAGGCACGTAATAAGTTTATTCGATAGGGTTTAACTCATGGATAGTGATTCGCCGCCAAAATTATAGGTTAATCGTTTATTTTTGTTACTCGTAGTCGATGATTTGATTGAGGAGCGTTTTGTAGATTGTTATTGCCTAACGCTACAGCCTATTGTGGCGTGGAAGAGAAAAAGTTGTGAAGAGTTTCTTCATGTCACTTAAATTCTTTGACATTGAAGTTAAAGTGGAGAAGAGTGATGGCTTTTGTACATTGGGTTTGGAGACTATGCTGCTATCCTGTTACTATCGTGGACGGTAGGACCAAGGCAAGGAACATCTCGTTAAACCATTTTAATGTTGCGTTTTTGGATGTCCAAGAGAAGATAAGGTTGGTTTGAGGCCAACCCATTCTGACAAGGAATTTCATGACGGGCTGACCTTTTTTAAGGTTACCTGGGAGCATCTTTTAGGTGCTGGTAAAATGGTCATGGACGGCTTGTTTGATCCAAAAATGATTCTTCATAAATAACTTCCTGTGCGATGTTTGAGGACATGTTTTGTGCTAAGAAACTATATGTCCCTGAGAATGTTGGATTATCTAGTGTTGTATTTGATTTAGCAAAAGCTTCCTATCTTGATTAAGAATTTACTTCATTATAATAATTATCTTAAAGGATGACCACAGGACTGCATTTCATTGGACTGCAATATTGTAGCTATAACATATTAAAAGCTCAAGGGCTGTTTGTTTCTGGGCGGAGGGTAAGATTAATGTTATCCTGCCCTTGAAGAGGAGAGATTACTTTAGAGTTGGTTGCTTTTCTCTGTAGTCAATATTATGCAAAAGTGCAGGAAGAAGCTTGAGTAAACTTAGCAATATCCTAATCATTACAGACAGATTAAAAATAAAAATAATATTAATATGATATTAGTTTAATTGCCTAACCCATAGTAGTCAATCCCAAATAATGGCGTGGAGTGGCTGCCCTCAAAACTTCTGTAGCAGGTAGTGGGATGACTGCTATAATAGATTCATTCTAATTTGTATATTTGCTGAAAAATACAGAAAAAATACATAAAATTAAAAACATGTTCATAATTAGTGATTAAAACTTAAGTTGGCAGAGCAAGGTTTGTTTGCAGAACATAGGCTAGGGCAAAGTGACGAGAAAAGGAGAGAGATGAACAAAAGGGGTCAAACTATTAAGGTGAACAAGCTTATGAATTTGACCCTAAAACACTATGAAATGACACTGGTTTTAGGGGCTAAAATAAACTTTGACCCGTTACTTACATAGTGCCTGCAACAGATGTAATTAACATTAGCTACAAATTTGGCTGTGAAAGGTGCTGTTCCAGCCTCAATGGCCAGGCGCAATGTGTTGAAGGTTGCAGGGGGCTGCACCCCGACAACATGATAATGTCATTATTGCATGCGATTAATCATGTTGCATTGATCTATCTGTTGGTTGAAGTCTTGCTGGAATAGGCTTGGCTTAGTCTGGAAAAGGGTGCAACTAATCTAACGGAGTAACTATATGGTTTGTTAGAATATAATGTTATTCTTTCTTAGATTGGTTGGATGAAATGAGAAAATCATTGACTGAAGCACTTTCTGATCAAAGAAGGATCTGACTTTTACTTTTAACTTCATAGCTTCTAGGGCCTATTTTAGATTTCTATAGATGCATTTATAAATCTTTATACAGTGTGTAGGTTGTTATGGTGATTTAATTGTTTGC